GTGCTTAAAAAGAATCTCGCAGAGCATCTTTGGCCTGTTCACTTGTTTGTTTTTTGTGGCTAGTTTTTATTTTCTCTTCTCATAATTTGACTTGGGGTGGGAACGTCACTTGTCCATCTTTTGAGATGAATGTTATGTGACTAACATCAAAATGAATAGCAGGGAAGGAAGTGTGTAACAGAGAAAGGGCACTTTGAAAGTTCCATTTTAGAGATCTTCCTAGCATTTTACCGAAAGAACATTGTGAATTATTCAGCCTATTCTCGGACTTCAGAGGCAGATGTGCATGTGTGTTCATTTGCACACATGCGTGCTCACGTGTGTTTGGTAAAGGGAGGAGCTGGGTGCTGTTTGGGCCCAGTCTTTTTGCCCTTTCCCGTTCTCTTTGGCTATTGCAGCATGTTTTTGTTGTTGTTTTCCTGTGATCATATCAATAAGAGTTATTCGTGTGTGTGGTAAGTATGGTGGAAACATTTGTGTTATGCAGACGTGGGTCCGTGGCCGGTGGTCTCGCTCCGGTTCTCACGGGAGAACCCGCCTTACCTGTGATGCTCCATCTCAGTGACACCAGGGACCAGCACCATCCAGAATGTGAACCAGTTTTGTTGTTGTTGTTTTACTGTTCTTATAGAGGTGAGGTACAGATGGGTTACGGTTACGTAAGTCAGGTAAAGAGCAGGTTTCTTTCTGGACGGTGTCTTCCCTTCCCTCACTTTCTCCCAGTTTTTCCCTCTGAACCACAGTTTTGAGGGATGAGCTGCTGGGCTTTTCATGAGCCCCGGATCCCCCCTGGGTCTGCTGCAGCTGTTGAGAGCCCTTTTCCCAAAGGGCTCTGGTTCATGGAGTCTGGGTGGGCAGAAAATGAACACTTCTGACAAGTTTCAAGTCTGTGTTGTATGGGATTCTTTCATGCATTTATTGTGATTACTTTGTGTATGTGTGCCCATATTGGGGCTTCAAGGCCTGGGTACCACTGTCTGCTCAAGGTTGGTGCTCTACCACTTGAGCCACAACTCCACTTTCAGCTTTTTGCTACCAAATTAGATATAAGAGTCTCCAGACTTTCCTTTCCCAGCTGGCTTTGAACTGTGATCCTAGCTCTCAGCCTCCTGAGTAGTGATGACTGCAGGCGTGAGTCACTGGCAGTGTCACTGGCTTTACTGTGCATAGGGTTTATAGAAAGTTATTGCTAAGTGTATTACCCGCAGCTTCGTCTCCTGTAGATACTAAGTTGGGGTCTGAATCTGTCCTCATCAGACAGGGTGGACACTTGACAGGAAAGGACTCTGGTCAGTGCAGCAGCACCTAGCTACGGACTAAGGCCAAACCTGGTTGCTTTGATTTTCGGACCTAAGTTGTTTCTCTTGAGTAAATTCTCCCCCCCAAAAAACAAGCAAAAACACCACCATAATGGCCAAGCTCTGGTGTCTTGGTTCAAAGCAGGAAAGTGCATGAGATTCTTATTTCCAATTAACCACTAAAAATGCCACAAGTGCAGCAGTACAGCTGTAGGCTCAGGTGGTAGAGCGCTAACGATGAGCAAAAGAAGCTCAGAGACAGTGCCCAGGACCCGAGTTCAAGCCCTAGAACAGACACTGAAAAACAACAACAACAAAAAAAAAAAACATAGTGGCTTCTTGCTTCTTTGCTAGCCTTTGACTGAGGCCTAAGCATGGCACGCATGTCCCTTTTGCCCAGCATGACGGCTGTTCTGGTGTGTTTGTATATTTACGTACACATGGCAACTTCCTTCCTTCCTTCCTTCCTTCCTTCCTTCCTTCCTTCCTTCCTTCCTTCCTTCCTTCCTTCCTTCCTTCCTTCCTTCCTTCCTTCCTTCCTGTGCTGAGTTAGGAGACATTTAGAGATCTGTTGGTTTAGAAAGTTGTTTTGTTTTTAATAAATAGACTGTATTTGAATAAGACTAGAAGTATCCATGGCTACCCACGAGGGAAAAGCCTTCTTGAAGGCCCTGGTGCTTGTCCTGGGTCTGGGATTTGCAACCTGAAACTGGGCAGCAAGGGGAGGGCTGGTCTGGGTTGGATTCCCATGCAATCCTCTTGTCAAGGAATGGCACGTGAGGCCGAGGCTTTCTGGAATTGTGGGCTGAGTGTCACTCACAGGCAGCTGGCTCCGAGTCAGGTCCGCCCTGACCTCCACAGAGAAGTCCAGACTCATCGATGGACTGCAAAGTGAAGTCGACGGTCATTTGGTTACTTCATATACCCAGGCAATAGATTCCTTTCTTTCTGTCTGTCCTCCATCTTTTTCCCTCCATCTCTTCCTCCCTCTCTCCTTTCAACTAGTATATTCTATAGATTGTCTCCACCTCTGACTTCTGAGCTCATGGATTGTATATGAGGCATTTTTTTAAATATGTGAGAACATACAAGTCAAGGCACATGTGTCTTCTGTCATGTAATCCTTGTGCTCTCTTTTGCTATATATCTAGACCTAATCTTTTTTTTTTTTCTGGCCCTGGGGCTTGAACTCAGGGTCTGAGGCCCTGTCCCTGAGCTTCTTTGTACTCCAGGCTTGTGTTCTACCATTTGAGCCACGGTGCCACTTTCGGCTTTTTCTGAGTAGTTTATCGAAGATAAGTGTTTCATGCGCTGGGCACCAGTGGCTCACGGCCTGTAATCCTAGCTACTCAGGAAGCTGAGAATCTCGGTTCAAAGCCAGCCTAGGCACGAAAGTCTTTCCTGGCTTTGAACCACAATCCTTAGCGATCAGCCTCCTAAGTAGCTAGGATCACACCCACTAGCATCTGGCTAGACCTAGTCTTTTAAAAAACTGAGCAGTTTTTCATCTTTCCTGGCAGTAAATGGGGGAACTGTAGCAGGCAAGGCACCGCAGAGCTGGCCCGCACCTGCTCAATACGAGGAGGAGATGGCACCCGGGCTGTGGATCTGCTTGCTAGCATTTAAGATGAGCCGGGAAGTGAACCGCGTATGTCAGAGCAGTTTGCCTTCCATCCCTGATCTCTAACCAAAGCCAGGGATTGGCTGGGGGAAAGGTCAATTAGAGAGAGGTAGCAGGGCATGTGGGTCGGGGTATCCACAAAATGTACCCCAGTTCCTTTACTCTCCATTTGAGGCGGCCTTAACGTCTCCCTGGACTGCATCTGTCAAAGGATGAGGGCGTGCTCTGCCCATGCTGAGACAGCCGCCCTCCTCCCCCTCCTCCTCCTCCCCCTCCTCCTCCTGCTGGTACCAGGCACCTGGCCCCCAGCACACCAGTGGGAAAGCTGTCAAGGTCAGAAGCCTGGCGCCCGCAGGGAGAATGGTCTGGGGAAGGTGGGCGTGATGGACGGTCGCTGACCTGCTGACTCTGACATGTTCTCGACCTTTTTAGGATGTTTCAGACTTTTCCTTAGAAGCAGTAAATAGAGTAAGGGTAAAAACTCCTCCTTTCTTACTTCACATACTGTCTAGCAAGTGGGCTTTGTCCCCATTGTTCTGTTTCCTTTCTCTTTCACTTCCTAGTCTTATAGCTTCTCCCCTCCCACGGCTTAAACGCATCCCTGTCTGTCTTAGTTCAGCTGTGGCACCCTCTATCCTAATTGTCCTGCTTAATGTCTTGCATCTTTGAAATGAAGTCTGTACCGAAAACTGTGATTCCAATACTATCCACTATGTGGTGCTCTTGTGTCAGAAATAAGTTCTAAAGCCAGGTGGGCCCTCAAAAGCATTGCAACCCGATGACAGTTAAAAGCAGAACCACAGGGCTGGGAAGGTGGCTCAATGGTAGAGTGCTTGCCTAGCATGCATGAAGCCCTGGGTTTGATTCCTCAGCACTACCTAAACGGCAAAAGCCAGAAGTGGTACTGAGGCTCAAGTGGTAGAGCAGTAGTCTTGAGCAAAAAAAGCTCAGAGACAGTGTCCAGGCCCTGAGTTCAGGCCCCAAGACTGGCGGAAGGAAGGAAGGAAGGAAGGAAGGGAGGAAGGGAGGGAGGGAGGAACCACAAAATGGGAAAGTTGAGGATTTCACCAGTTCTGCAGAACGCTACCAGGCTTCAGCGAGTAGCAGCTGAACCACAATAATGTGTCTCGATTGAGCCACAGTGCCATTTCTGGTGTTTTTTGTTTTTATTTTTTGTGGGGGGAGAGGTAAGCTAGTTAATTGGAGATTAGAGTTTCATGAACTTTCCTGCCCACTCTCTAACTTCAGTCTTGAAAAAAGTCTGCCGGAGAGTTCTCCCTAGTTAGTAGTTCAGGCTAGGAGCAGGCCAGCCGCTCTGTGAAGCCATTGAACTTGGACTCGCAGTCTTTAGAAACATGGGTCTGTGGTGGCGGGGACTGGTGGGAGAGTCTGGACTTGGGGACTTGGGTTATCACCACCATCTGCCATCATCGCAGGCCCTTTGCAGTTTCTCCAGAGAAAGCGTGACTCAGGAGCCATCTCCATTGCTTGGATAATTGAGTCTTTCCTGTCTCCCAAATACAGCCCCACAGTGGGACGCCTTCCTAGGTGATTCTTCACACAGCCTCCACCACACCTCTGTGCAGCCTCCTCAAAGGAATTCTTTGTTTAGTGTTTCATGATCATTAAGATGTGATCTTTCCATCCTCAGCCTGTGAATAAACTTTGCTACTTTCCCCTTGGATGTGTAAAGATAAGAATCCAAATTATAGCCAGGCATCTGTGGCTCACACCTATAATCCCAGTCAGTCAGGAAGCTGAGATCTGAGGATCACTATTGGAAGCCAGCGTGGGCAGGAATGGTCATGAAACTCTTATCTCCAATTAACTAGCCTACCCAACCCCTAAAAAAAGGGAGAAAAAAACTGGAAATGGCACTGTGGCTCAAGTGGTAGAGTGCCCAGGCCCTGAGTTCAAGGTGCAGTATCAGCACCAAAAACAAAACCAAAAAAAAGCGGGCAACTGCCTCCCCGAAGGGCGCGGGAGCAGCTGCGCTGTCATTCACTGCGGGTATTTTCAGATGGTGCGTGCTCAGCTCACTGCGCAACCGCTGCTTCTGAAGCCTTCTTCTCCCTTTGCAGGTGTTCATCTCTGTGAACTGCTTGAGCACAGATTTCTCCTCTCAGAAGGGTGTGAAGGGCTTGCCTCTCAACATCCAGATTGACACTTACAGTTACAACAACCGCAGCAATAAGCCAGTGCACCGGGCGTACTGCCAGATCAAAGTCTTCTGTGACAAGGTAAGAGCCGGGGCTCGGGGCGGGCAGCTGAGATGCTCTCCTTCCCCCCACCCCAGAACTGGGGCTTGAACTCAGGGCCTGGGACTGTCCCTGAGCTTCCTTTTTTTTTTTTTTTTTCTGCTCAAGTCTAGCAGTACCACTAGAGCCCTCGCGCCGCTTCAGTTCAGGCTTCTTCTGTTTATGTGGTACTGAGGAATCCAGGGGATTTTTATACTCAACCGCATGGTGAGTCCGATGCTCATAGAGAAGAGCTTATCATAGCTGATCTAGGTGGTTCACACCTGCCAGCTCCTCAGGAGGCTGAGATCTAAGGATCTCAATTCAAAGCCAGCCCGACAAATCACAGATGCTTATCTCCACTTAACCAGCAAAAAAGCCAGAAGTGGTGTAGCTCAAGTGGTAGAACACCAGCCTTGAGTGCAAAAGCTAAGCAAGAACTGAAGGTCCTGAGGTCAAATCCCAGTATTGGAGCACACGCACACATACATGTGCACATGCGCATGTGCACGTACACACATGTGCATGTATACACACGTGTGCATACATACACACGTGCGCACAGGTGCGCGCGCACATGCATGTGCACACATGCATACGCACACCGACATGCATTGCACACACGTGCACACACATACACACAGATTGTCTTAAATGGGTATTTATTGTTTTGGCCTTGCATTCAAATAAACTTTAAAAAGAGAAAGGAAAAGGGCTGGGAAGGTGACTCAGTGGTAGAGTGCTTGCCTTGCATGCATGAGGCCCTGGGTTCAATTCCTCAGCACCACATAAGCAGAAAAAGCCAGAAGTGGTGCTGTGGCTCAAGTGGTAGAGTGCTAGCCTTGAGCTGAGGAGCTGAGGGACAGCGCCCAGGCCCAGAGTTCAGGCCCCACAACTGACCGGGGGGGGGGGGGGGGGGGAGAGAGAAGGGAAAAGATCTCATTTGAACCACACATTTAGGAAAATCCACCGCGGACTTTGGTGTGCATGCTTAGCTCGGGTGGTGACAGCTCAGCCAGGTGACTACAGATGAGCCGCCCTTGACCTGGCTCTCCACCCTCCAGACCCTTTGACACGTCAGCCACTATGACAGTGGCAGGGGGCGATGGGGCAGAGTGGGAGAAAGGACGGGGCCCAAAGAGAGTGCAGTGCCCTCTCATCTCTCCAGAGCAGCTGCTTTTTCCTGAAAAACAGAACCATCCACTTGTCCTTGTTCCGGCCTCTCTGGCCAGAGCTCAGCCCTGAGCTGCTCCAAGTCAGACTGGCCAGGCCAGTGTGGAGGGGATAGCAGTGCAGGAGGAGGCGGAGGAATGTACAATGGTCCCTTGAACTCAGATGGAGCAAGGCTTTGACTTTTCCTGCTTAAAAATATTAAGATATGTGGGGCTGGGAAGGTGGCTCAGTCGTAGAGCACTTGCCTTGCATGCATGAGGCCCTGGGTTCGATTCCTCAGCACCACATAAAAAGAATAAAAGCCAGAAGTGGCACTGTGGCTCAAGTGGTAGAGTGCTAGCCTTGAGCTGAAGAGCTGAGGGACAGCTCCCAGGCCCAGAGTTCAGGCCCTACGACCGGACCCAAAAAAAAAAAAAATTAAGATGTGAAAGCTGGGCGCCAGTGGCTCACACCTGTCATCCTAGCTACTCAGGAGGCTGAGATTTGACAGGATCACGGTTCAAAGCCAGCCCAGGCAGGAAAGCCCGTGAGACTCATCTCCAATAAGTCACCAGAAAACTGGAAGTGGTGCTGTGGCTCAAGTGGTAGAGCGCTAGCCTTGAGCTGAAGAGCTGAGGGACAGCGCCCAGACCCAGAGTTCAAGCCAAGCCCCATGACCGACTATATATATATATATATATATATATATATACACACACACACCACACACACACACACACACACACACATATAGGAATTTTGCTTTATTCTATTTCCTCTTTTATTCATCCTGTTAACCTTTTCTTGTATTAATATTTTATTGGTCACATTAGTGATACAGAAGGTGATTTCATTGTTACATTTCCACGTTTGCAGTATATCCAATCCATCTCACTCTCTCTGCCACTCCCCGTATTTAGAACTTTAGGTGATGCTAGTTCACTGGAATTACACTAGCTGATGTTTGACTGGCTGCAGAAAACACAGCCTCTGGCCACAGGAGGGCGCCTGGAACCTTCACATTCAGAGCACTTCCTCTGTCTCACAGATCCTGCCTCAATCAAGGTCCTATGTATGCACCTGCTAATGTGCCAGGATGTGCTCTTTGCTTCTTGCTTTTTTTTTTTTTTTTTTGCCAGTCCTGGGTATAGTCTCTGCACCACTTTATCCTTAAGGCTAATGCTCTACCACTTGAGCCACAGCACCACTTCCAGCTTTTTCTGAGTCATTTACTCAAGATAAACATCTCACATATTTTCCTGCCCAGACTGGCTTCAAACCACACTCTTCAGATCTCAGCCTCCCTACTGTTCTTTGTTTTTATTGTTGTTAAAAGAATAACTACAACGGCCAGGCACTAGTGGTTCACACCTGTAATCTTAGCTACTCGGGAGGCTGAGGTCTGAGGATTGTGGTTCAAAGCCAGCCTGGACAGGAAAGTCTGTGAGATTCTTTATTTCCAAATAACCACACATACCCTAAAAAAAGCAGAAATGGAACTGTGGCTCAAGTGGTAGCCTTAAGTAAAAAAGCTCAGGGAGCATGCCCAGGCCCTGAGCTTAATTTCAGGGCCTGCACACACGAAAATAAACACAAACTTAGTAACTTCATAAAAATGTGTTTATCCTAGTCAATAGCTCTGACATCTGACGCCGATTTCGCGGCTGAGATGCAGGTGTGGGCAGGGCTTATCGCTTTTGAAGTGTCTACGAGAGACGCTGGTTCTGTGCCTTCTCCACCTGCTGGAGGCTGCCCGTATGCCTTGGCTCATGGGCCCTTCCCTCTGCAGTGGCTAGTTGCAGTTGATGCTTCTTAGTTCATGCCCCTGTCCATCCACATACTGCCTTTCACTCTTCTACCTTCTGCTTGTTTGTGGACCCTGCGGCTAGCTTGGGCTTCCTCAAAAGACCTAGCATCGTCTTCTGCTCACCACCCTTTTGCCATATGACCTGCCCTGCCCTCAACCCCCCAGGATCAGGTGTGTGCATCCTGGGGCACAGGAGCTTCTGGTGGGCTGCCGTTGACATACTTCTAGACAGTGAACTTATGCCCTGTGCTTTTCTCCCGTTTTTGATCTCAGCTGCTCTGGACCAACACATTCCACATGAGCAGAAAACATCATGTATGTGCTGGTTTTCAAAGGTGAACATCCCGCCACGTGAAGCCCCACGTGACCCGGTGGTGTGGCTGGAAGCTCTCTGCCCCCACTATGCTGGTGATGGAGGTTTCTGGATTGCCCGGCTGCCTCAGCTCTGGACAGCTCTGCCTGGGCCTGTCTTTTCTGATGTCTGACCTCTTCTTATTTGGCACCTGTCAATTCATGTCAGCTGCCAGCTCTTAAAATTCTCCTTTTATGAGTCTGCCCCACAGCTGAAGAAGAAACAAGAAGCAAGACATCTTTTTGACATCACTTCAGACATTATTTGGCATTATTTTTCCTTCCTAATTTCCGAAGCAGTAGTGCTATTACACTTTTCAGGAAAAGTCGGTCTATCCAAGAGACAGGAACTCTTTTTATTTTTTTGTCGTTGAGGGGCCTCCTGAGTAGCTAGAAATACAGGATGAGCCACCAGCGCCCACCTAGCAACAACTCTTTCTCCAAGTTCATATGTATCCCCAGCCCGTTGAATAGAGGAAAATTACGCTGACATTTGCTTCCTGCAGCAGTCCTTTTGTTCCTCATCACAGTGATAGAGGTGTGGCTCAAGAAGTAGAGCACCAGCCTTGAGCAAGCACTCAGACTCTGAGTTCAAGTGTTGGTACAGACACAGAGTAACAAGTGATCATGTCTCTAGCAGTCTTAACTCTTGAGTTCAACACCTGCTGCAGGGCCCAAGGTCAGTCCTGTTAGTTGGTGACTCAAGAGGCCAAACTGCTAAATGGTTCTTTGTAATGTCTTGGGACTTCCTTTAACAATTTTTTTTTTGTCATGGGGCTTGAACTCTGGGCCTGGGCGCTGTCCTTCAGCTCTTCAGCTCAAGGCTAGCGCTCTACCACTTGAGCCACAGTGCCACTTCTGGTTTTCTGGTGGTTTATTGGAGATAAGAATCTCATGGACATTCTTGCCCAGGCTGGCTTTGAACCATGATCCTCAGATCTCAGCCTCCTGAGTAGCTAGGATTACAGGCATGAGCCACCGGTGCCCGGCTCCTTTAACAATTCTTGTGCCTACTGGGACTGAATTTGTTCCACTTTTGTGTGTGTCTGAAGGGTGCTTATTTCACTTTCTGTTTTAAAAGATCCTACTGCTGGGTATAAAATTCCACGGGGATTATTTTACAATAGTTGGCAGCAAACTTCAGAGCCCCGCTTCTGCTGAGAGTGTGATTACCTAACAAAGTCGTGTGGCTCTATTCTGTACATGGTTAGTTCCTCTTTTCCATAACTGTGTTTAAGATTTTCTCTTCACACTGGTTTTGAGCACTTTGATACGTCTACTCGTTTTTCTTGTTCCTGGGGTTTGCTGAGCTTGTTGAGTTGCTTGAGAATCTATGGGTTTTTGGGTTTTGCTGTACTTGGAAATGTTTTTACCCACTCATTATTTCCAGTATCTTTTCTTCTTCTTCTTTTGGTTTTCCAGTTATACATCTCTAAGGTACTTGAAGTTATCCAGAGCCCACTGGTTTTTTTTTTTCTCTCTCTCTCTTTTTTTAATGTTACTTTAATTAGGGGTAGTTTCTACTGCTATATCCTAGAGTTCATTGAGTGAGTGTGAGTGTGTGTATGTAAGAGAGAAAAGTAGTAGGTCTTGAACTCAGTGCCTAATGTTCTTACTTGGCTTTTTTGCCCAAGGCTAGCACTCTACCACAGCTCCTCTTTCAGCTTTTTAGTGGTTAATGGGATATAAGAGTCTATGGAAGCTGGGCGCTGGTGGCTCACGCCTGTAATCCTAGCTACTCAGGAGGCTGAGATCTGAGGATCACTTCAAAGCCAGCCCGGACAGGAAAGTCTGTGAGACTTATCTCCAATAAACCGCTGGAAAACCGGAAGTGGTGCTGTGGCTCAAGCAGTAGAGTGCTAGCCTTGAACTGAAGAGCACAGGGACAGTGCCCAAGCCCAGAGTTCAAGCCCCACGACCAACCAAAATAAAAGAGTCTATGGAGTTTGTCTACCAGGGCTAGCTTTGTACTGTGATTCTCAGATCTGAGCCTCCTGTATAGTTAGGATTACAGGCATGAGCCACCAACATTTAGATACTTCACTGATCCTTTGCCCGATCTAAACTGCTATTCCTGTGCAGTGTAACTTTTAATCTCAGACATTGTAGTTTTCATCTGTGGAAGTTCAAGCAGGGTCTGTTTTATATTGTCTGTGTCTCTGTTTACTTTTTTGTAGTGCAGGGGAGTGAACTCGGGGCCTGGTACACACTAGACCATCTCTCTACCACTGAGCCACCCTCGCAGCCCAGGCTGGTGGGGGTTTCCGGCGGTTTTTGAACATGTGTGGTACAGCCCCACTGACCGGCTTAATGTCCTTGCCTGACATCTCTGTGTCAGTTCTGGGTCGGCAGCAGTGGCTTGATTGTCCCCTCTCCCTCAGGCGGGTTGTCCTGCCTTTAGCCTACCTGGTCATCCCACTGGACATGTGGCCTTGTCAGTTTACCTCTTTGGGACTGGATGTTTCTTGTCTTCAGCCTTGTCCTGAGACCAAAGTAAGCGCCTGGGGACAAGCAGCGTCCTTGGGCACCTGGTTTCATGACTTGCGAGCATGCGAGCATTGTGAGCGAGGCTTTCCTGGGTGCTCACGTCTGTCCTCGGTGAGCCCTGGGAGCTTCCCGTGTGACCACACCATGTTCTCCCCATCTGAGACTCAGCCGCTGGGTCTCTCATCGTTGCAAATGGTTTTTCCCCAGCCATGGGTAATTTCCCGTGAATTGTCCACTTGGGGAGCAGTCGAGAATCCTTTGAAGATGTCTAGAGACGGGCCCCGTGGCGGATCTGCTTTCCCTCCTCGCTGCAGTGAGCACCTGCTCCCCTCCCAACCACAGCCTGGACGGCTCTGGGAGCAGTGGGCAGCGCAGCCGAACCAGCTCACCCAGAGCTGGGCCCTTCAGTCCTTCAGAATACCATATTTAAAGCCAGGCGCTGGTGGCTCACGCCTGTAATCCTAGCTACTCAGAAGGCTGAGATCTGAGGATCGTGGTTCAAAGCCAGCCCTGGCAGGAAAGTCCATGAAACTCTTATCTCCAATAAACCACCACAAAACTGGAAATGGCGCTGTGGCTCAAGTAGTCGAGTGCTTGCCTTGAGCTGAAGAGCTGAGGGACAGCGCCCAGGCCCAGAGTTCAAGCCCCGCGACTGACCAAAAAAAAAAAAAAAAAGTACTTCATTTAAGCATTTTTTCCAGTTTGGGTTGTTTTCAGGATACAGTCAAAAGCTCCATCTTGAGTAGAAACAAGTTCCTTTTATTTTGTGTGTGTGTGTATGTGTGTGTGTGTGTGTGTGTCTGTCTGTCTGTCTGTCTGTCTGTGTCTGTGTTTGCTGGTCCTGGGGCTTAAACTCAGGGCCCAGTCTCTGTTCCTGAGCTTCCTTTGCCCAAGGCTTCTTCCACTTAAGCCACAGCTCTAACTTTCAGCTTTTTTGGTAATTTAGTGGACATGAGAGTCTCTCAGACTTTCCTGTCTGGGCTGGCTTTGAACCACAATCCTCAGATCTCGGTCCTGAGTAACTTGGACTGCAGGCATGCTTTTTCAATAAGGAAGGAATGTCTTATTTTGTCACACTGCCTACTTGAGGGGTACAGTTTGTCATCAAAATGAAGTAACTGGTAGCCAATGAGAAAGGATTAAGAGATAAAGGCCGTTCAGTAGTCGGGGAATGGCGACCCTCCCGGTCTTCCTGGGTCAGCGTGTGGCAGTCCTGTGTGGCCATTTTCACAGACGAGCTAGTGGGTTAGCACCTAGAGCAGGCAGCTATTCTGATTTTTTTGTTTTGTTTTGTTTTGCTGGTCCTAGGGTTTGAACTCTGGATCTTAAGCACTATTCCTGAGCCGCTTCTGCTCAAGGCTAGTGCTCTACCACTGCAGCCACGGCCCCACTTCCAGCCTTTATTTGGTGGTTTATTGGAGATAAGCATCTCACAGACTTTCCTGCCTAGGCTGGTTTCCAACCATGATCCTCAGATCTCAGCCTCCTGAGTTGCTAGGATTATGGGGTGAGCCACCGGTGTCCAGCTAGGTATTCTAATTTTTAAAAGTGATCCTTAAGCCAGGCATTGGAGGCTCATGCCTGTCATCCTAGCTACTCAGGGGGCTGAGATCTGAGGATCATGATTCACAGCCAGCCTGGGCAGGAAAAATCCATAAGACTCTCTATCTCCAATTAACACCAGAAAACCAGATGTGGTGTTATAGCTCAAAGTGGTAAAGTATTAGCCTTGAACAAAAGAGCTTAGGGCAATGTCCAAGCTCTGAGTTCAAGCCCCATGACCAACAAATAAATAAATGTATCTGTGATTTATTCCATACAGTTAAAAATAATTTGTGGCGAGCCGGGTACCAGTGACTCATGCCTGTAATCCTAGCTACTCAGGAGGCTGAGATCTGAGGATTACAGTTCAAAGCCATCCTGGGCAGGAAAGTCCATGAGACTCTTTTTTTTTTTTGGGTCCAGTCGTGGGGCCTGAACTCTGGGCCTGGGCGCTGTCCCTCAGCTCTTCAGCTCAAGGCTAGCACTCTACCACTTGAGCCACAGCGCCACTTCTGGCTTTTTTCTTTTTGCTTATGTGGTGCTGAGGAATCGAACCCAGGGCCTCATGCATGCAAGGCAAGCGCTTTACCACTGAGCCACCTTCCCAGCCCCGTCCATGAGACTCTTATCTCCAGTTAACCACTAGAAAACTGGAAGTGGCACTGTGGTTCAAGTGGTAGAGCGCTAGCCTTGAGCTGAAGAGCTCAGGATCAGTGCCAGGCTCAGAGTTCAAGCCCCATGGCCAACAAAAAAATAATAAATAATAATAATAATTTGTGGAGTGAGAATGAAAGAACAAGCTGGGCGCGGTGGCACACGCCTGTCATCCTAGCTACTCAGGAAGCTGAAATCTGAGGATCGAGGTTCAAAGCCAGCCCGGGCAGGAAAGCCCGTGAGACTCTTATCTCTAATAGAACACTGGAAAACCAGAAGTGGCATTGTGGCTCAAGTGGTGGAGCACTTGCCTTGAGCTGAAGAGCTGAAGGACAGCGCCCAGGCCCAGAGTACAAGGGCCACAACCAGAAAAAAAAAAAAAAAAAAATGAAGGAACAAAAGACACTGTATGGAAGGAAATGTACTCATTACCTGATTCATGTAATTGTACTTCCTCTGTACAAACTCTCTATAATAACAATAACAATGAAGTAAATTAATTAAAAAAAATAATTTGTGGGGCTGGAAACGTAGCTCAGTGGTAGAGTACTTGCCTCGCATGCATGAAGCCCTGGATTTGATTCCACAGTACCACATACACAGAAAAAGCCAGAGATGGTGCTGTGGCTCAGGTGGTAGAGTGCTAGCCTTGAGCAAAAGAAGCTTAAGGATAGTGCCCAGGCCCTGAGTCTAAGCCCCAGACCTGGCAAAAAATAATAATAATTGGAGACATAGCTCAGATGATAAAGCCCCAACTAATGAGTAAAAGCCTCAGATACCGTCTGAGTCCCAGTCTCGGACAAAATAATAATAGTAATATTTGCATAACAGACTTTTTTTTTGTCGGTGGTGGGTCTTGAACTTGAGGCCTAGACGCTGTTCCTCAGCGCTTCAGCTCAAGGTGAGTGCTCTACCACTTGAGCCACAGCGCCACTTCTGGCTTTTTCTGTTTATGTGGTGCTGAGGAATCGAACCCAGGGCCTCATGCATATGAGGCAAGCATTCTACCACTGAGCCACCTTCCCAGCCCCTGTATAATAGGCTTTTAAGAGCAAAGCACTAGGACAGACAACTAATTCAGTAAGAAGTTCACTTCCAGAGAAGAAGTGGACAAGAGTTGACTGTTGGAAAAAAGGTCAGACCCACTAGACTCCTGTCTTGTCTCCTATTCCCGCAGGGAGCCGAACGGAAAATCAGGGATGAAGAACGAAAGCAAAGTAAAAGAAAAGGCAAGTGTCCTGACCCCAGCTCCCGGGTGAATGCCTGTAAGTAGCATGTCCAGCCAGCCTCAGCCAATCCAGGGTGCTGTGTGCCTCTGTGCCCAGCAGAGGCTGGGGGTAGGGTGGGGTGGGGTGAGGGCGGGGCTGTGACAGAAGGGGCGGGGCTGTGACAGTAGCGGGCGGGGCTGAGTCTCAAGGGTTGCCTGCCAAACTGCAGACTGGTCTTGAGTTTTCCCATGTGCAGGCATTGTGGATGGTCAATTCAGGTGGCTGCTTCCAGTCCTGAAAACAGATGCACGCTCCCTGAGCTTCCCAGTCTGGTCTGGCTCAATTTATAGAACTAATGACAATGCCCTGAAAATTCAGGATGTCTTCATTGTAGATGAGGGTCGTTCCCAGAATCCTTGAGGCTTCTGCTTTGGCATTTCTCCAAGAGTATGTGAGGGTATCTGTCTGACTCTGTCTCTCTGTCTCTTACTCTCCCTCTCCCCCCTCCCCATCTTGTCTTGCTATGCAACCCAGGCTGGTCTTGAACTTGTGATCCTCCTGTATCTTGCAGGTATTACAGGTATCCACCACTACACCCAGTTTTGTCTTTTTTAAGAAAATGTGACCAGTATTCATATTCACAAAACTCGGTATCTGAAGGTCTACTAGGGAGAAAAGTGTTGTGTTGTAGTGTCTCGTCTGTGGCCCGGTGCTTCTGGCATGTTCTGTGAACTGTTGGGTCCACAGCACATGGGTCAGGATTCTCCCCTTGGCATCAGAATGCTGCTTGCTAAACCCCCTGCTGAGTGCATCAGGGCCAGATGATGGGGAGAGGGACCCCAAATTTAATAAATTAAACACTAGTATGCTTACTCTTTCTTCTCATTTTTGGTCATCTAAGGTTTGAACTCAGGGCTTTGCACTTGCTAGGAAAAGACAGTAGCACTCCAGACACTGTTTGCTTTATTTTAATAGTGTCTCATTTTCGGGGGAGGGGAGAAGGTGCCAGTCTTGGGGCTTGAACTGTGGGCGCTTCCACTTCTGACCTTTTTGTGGTTAATTGGAGATGAGAGTCTCAAGGACTTTCTTGCCCTGGCTGGCTTCAAACTGTGATCCTCAGATGTTGGCCTCCTTACAGGCATGAGCTACCAGCCCCCCGCGGTAGTATCTCTTTGTTCCAGTCTTCATTCCACAGTCCTCCTACCTACGCCTCCTGCGTGGCTGGGATGGCAGGTGCGCTCTGCCACATCCCACTTTATCTTTTGAGATAGAGTCTCCCTAACTCTTCCTGTCCAAGCTGGTCTTGAACTTCAGTAGTTGGGATTTAGACTTGTACTCTTAAGTTCAGCATGGAGGCTCTTGATTCGTTCTGAAGACAAATAGAGGCTAAGGTGGGATTGCTTCCGGATTGTATTCATATCATGACAAGTTTTAGCCTTCTACATGAAAACTAAATGTTCTGTGTGTGTGTGTGTGTGTGTGTGTGTGTGTGTGTGTGTGTGTGTGTGTTTAAATGCCTCTGACTATTGGTTTTGACAGGTGTTCATTTGATTTTATTCTGAGTGCACGCAGCAAATCCCTCAACGTGAACTCTGCTTTTTCTTTTGGTGCAGCCCCATAACCTGAGCCTTAGAGTGCCATCCTCAATTTCTTCACCTTTGAAGGAAATGTTGTGCCTGTTTCCAGCCTAATAGATAGAATCTGCTGATGTTGGCATCTTCATTTTTTTCCAGTTTCTGATGTCAAAGTGCCCCTGCTTCCCTCACACAAACGAATGGACATCACGGTGTTCAAGCCCTTCCTCGACCTCGACACGCAGCCTGTGCTCTTCATTCCTGACGTGCACTTCGCCAGCCTGCAGCGGGGCGCCCATGTAGGTAGCCGGCACGGGGGCTGCAGGGCCCAGCGCAGACATTCTCTAGCATTATTCATGGCACCTAGGAGCCACCTTCAGTGAGGTTGACCAGTTGGCTGGATCTCTGGAACATTCAGTTATGGTGACATGATTCCCACGCCATACATATTAGGCATTGACTTGAAAATGCAGACTGTCAGCATAATTCTATCAGTTTTCTTTCATTCATTCATCCACTCATTGATTCAATCATGTCTTAGCTCATTTAAAGGCTTCTAGAATAGCACAGCAGTTTGGAATTTGAGTCTGTGCTCTTGGGAGTTTAACTTGAGTGATAATCTGTGTCGGATAGCCCTATAAAGAATCTCCAGGGCTGGGAAGGTGGCTCGGTGGTAGACCACTTGCATTGCATGCCAGAGGCCCTGGGTTCGATTCCTCAGCACCACATAAGCAAAAAGAAAAAAGCCAGAAGTGGCGCTGTGGCTCAAGTGGTAGAGTGCTAGCCTTGAGCTGAAGAGCTGAGGGACAGCGCCCAGGCCCAGAGTTCAGGCCCCACAACTGGACCCAAAAAAAAAAACCAACAAGAATCTCCAGTGTTGTGCTCCTATAAACAACTAACTTATGGTCTGACAAAATTAATACCAGGAAACTGGAACGTGTGTTTTTTTAAGAAAAGTAAATTATATGAATTTTAAAAAATAACATCCCAAGGTTTTTTCTCATGGTTCCAGTGCTGAATTATCATCAGCATCTTAGTTACTAATGCTAATTTTGTTGGTTTGTTTTTAAGTCACAGTCTGCTTTGTGGTAAAAGCTTACCAGAGACAGGCGCTCAGTCGAGCGGGACTTGCTGCGCCAGATAAACAGAAGGGCTCGGGCCAGGGCCCCAGCAGCCAGATGTGGAAGGAGTACTTAGCCAAGGCACGGTGGTCAGGGAAGAGCTTGTGGAAGGCAAGCAAGCCTCAGTGGACTTTTGGGAAAGGACCGAGTCGTAGTAAACACTTCGGGCTTTGGACCATGGACTCTCTGTTGTGCCATTCTGGTGCCAAAGCGGCTGCACACAATACCTAAGTGAACGCATCTGGCCCTGTTCCTCTAAATGCTTTATTTACAGAGCAGGCTTCAACTAGATTTGGCTATTTTAGAGAAGTTCAAGCTAGTATAAAATTCTAGACATTAAAAAATAAGACTAAAGGAATTTGCATTTTTTAAAAAAGCAGTTGATGTTAGATCCATCAAATTGAGAATGATTCCTAATTTCAGAATAAATTACATTCTGATTTATTTTGAGCCTATGTGAAAAGCAATCTGTGGTTTTATTTTTTCCCTTAGGTTCTTTCTATTGCTTCAGAAGAATTGGAGGGCGAAGGGTAAGATTTTATGTTTGTCTTTTATGAACATTTTTATTTTGAAGTAATCTCAAACGTAGCAAAAAAAAAAATTGCAGATACAGTACAAGAAAGTCCCTTTTCTCCTAAAGGATTTCAGTGCCATCGTTCCTGAGCATGCCGGGCCTGCCCCTCTCCCCCCCATCAGCAGGGCCGTCCACAGCGGGCCGCCAGGGGGCGCCGTTGCTACCATGCGGTGTCCACGCAGAGCCCAGCTTTGTTCCAGCCCAGAACCACATGGTGTATTTGTTGTCATGGTTCTTTACTCGCCTTGGTCTGGAACAGTCTTGGCCTTCCCTGCCTTTGCCGATGGTGGCCGTCTTCGTTTTGGCCTCATGGTCAGCATCGGCCTGACACCCTGGCAGGACTGTCCTTCCTCCCTTGGTTTTCAGCTCAGTCTCATTCTCCATTAAACTTTCCACTTGTTCACTTGTTGGTTTGTGAAGGCGTGAGCCACTGCTGCCCTTCCCTTGGACACATTGCCCCAGAGCTGGCCAGGGGGAGCCCTTGCAGCTGTCCCAGGTCTTTCCGGCCTGGCCCTCCTTCCTGGACCGCTGTCCTGTGCCCTGCCAGACACTGGTGTTTCCCTCTCTAGCACAGACCCAGCGTTTTGTGCAAGATAGCCTGCTTCCCTCTGTGGAGTCTGGGGTCCAGGATGGGCCCTCTGGTGTGCCCCTGGTCCTGGGCCCACTTTCCCATCCCCGTACCTGGCAGCCGCTTTGCAGATGCCTGCCACACTGAGGGGCTGCCCGACCCCTCTCTGCCAGGCGACCCTCCAGCCTTGCTTGTCCCTTCTGACAGCTTTAGGACTAAAATTTTCAAGAAGTGGGAAGTTCTGCTTTGGGGCTGAAATCTCCCTTTCTCTTGATCTAGAACAATGCATGATAAGAGAAAAACAAAAGCCAGTGCATGATGGGAAAGAGAGCCTAGGTGTTGATTCCGTGTTCATTCCTCAGCTTAGTCCCACTGTCTTCACCACCTCCCCACCCTCAGTGGTTTAGCTTTGGGGCCTCCCTCCTTCACTGAATAGAATACCTGTTGTATATTAGGAGCTGAGCTGCACAGGTATTTGAAGGCCTTAAACTCTATTGCTGAGGTGGTCTCAAATGCATTTCTCCATTTTTAGTTATTTGACTCTTCTTGCACACCTTGGTGAGCACAGGCCCTTGGAGTCATGCAGATCTGGGCTCCCTTCCTCACACTCTGTGTGCACTACCCTTTTCTTTCCATGGACTGGAAAGTATGCTAAACCTTTGAAGCTACGCTCTGACGGTCATCTCAGTCCTCTCGCGATCATCCCGCCAGCCTGGAGAAACCTGAACTGTGAACCAACACTTTTTTTTTCCAGTCCTAGGGCTTGAGCTCAGGGCCTGGGCACTGCCCCTCAGCTCCTTATGCTTATGCTCAAGGCTAGCATTCTACCACTTGAGCCACAGCGCAACTTCCGGCTTTTTCTGTTGATGTGATACTGAAGAATGGAACCCAGGGCTTCACACCACTAGGCACACACTCTGCCACGGAGCCACATTTCCAGCCCCAACCAACATGCTTTGACCATAGTGTTCCATCTCACATAAGTTGCAAAGATTCCCTCTTGGGCCTCAGTGGCTCATGTCTGTAATCCCACCCATTCAGGAGGCTGAGATGGTTATGGTTCAAACTAGCCCTGGCAGGAAAGTCATGAGATGCTCATCTCCAAAAAACTACCCCAAAAAAGCCAGAAGTGGAGCTGTGGCACAAGTGGTAGAGAACCAGCCTTGAGTAACAGAAGCTCAAAACCAGGCTCTAAGATCGAGCCCTAGTACTGACACAGAAAAAGGGAAAGAAAAAAAAGATTCCTTCTTACCCGAGGCATAAAAATCTGTGATTCCTTAAAGCTAAACAGTACTGCCAATTCTCCTTTTCTCGTTCTGTTCTGCTAGCCTCCTCACACTGTCTCGAGCTGGGCATGGTAGTGCTTGCTTAGAGGCTGTGGCAGGAGGCTTGTCAGTTTGAGGCCAACCTCAGCTGTGTAGTAAGTCCCAGACCCACAGAGGCTCCTGTAGCAGGACCCTCTCTGAATAAACGAAACAGAACAAACGCTTGCACCCTCCTTTGGTAGGCCGTGCGAGTTTGTCCAGCCCCTTCTCCTCTTGGGGAGCAGGCCCCATCCTGAGCAGGTAGCTGGGTCTAGTGAAGCTGGGATGGAGGAAGTGAGCAGGTCGGTCAGTCAGTGGCCCCGGGTCTGCCACGGAGCGTCACGCGCCCTGGCGCTGTCAGCATCTTACTCTAGACCTCAGAGTTTGTGCAAAACAATAAGGAAGCTGGGCCAGATAAAGAACGAGAGTCGCTTTGAGTTTAAAAGTCAGCGCTGATACATTTCCAACTCTTCGTTGGAAAGTCACACACGGTATCCGGTCACCCGCAGGTCTGCCTTGAAAAGGGGGCCGTATGGAACGGAAGATGACTTCGCGGTCCCCCCTCCCGCAAAGCTGGGCCGGGCAGAAGAGCCTAAGAGAGGTATGTTGGGCCCCATTACCGAGTGGGACTGCTCAGTCCACAGTGAGCACAGATGGCACCATCGCACGGAATCCTGCCCTGAACCAGCACGGAGGGGCGGAGGTCGGGGCGCCGCCCGCTTCTCCGGGCTTGTGTGAATTAACGTAGTCTTGTTCTCCGGCTACCCTCTTGCTCTGGACGGAAACCAGTGTTGCTGTACGTGCGGAAGGAGTCAGAAGAAGTCTTTGATGCCCTCATGCTCAAGACCCCGTCTTTGAAGGGCTTGATGGAGGCTGTAAGTAGGCTACATGCAGCCATTCCCTTTCAAAAAAAAAAAAAAAGATGGAAGCTGGGCAGGTGGCTCAGTGGTAGAGCGCTTGCCTCGCATGCATGAGGCCCTGGGTTCGATTCCTCAGCACCACATAAGCAGAAAAAGCCCAAAGTGGCACCATGGCTCAAGTGGTAGAGTGCTAACCTTGAGCTGAAGAGCTCAGGGACAGTGCCCAGGCCCAGAGTTCAGGCCTCACAAGCGACAAAGAGAAAGAAAGAGAAAAGAAAGAAGGAAAGAAAAAGAGAAGGAAGGGAGGGAAGGGAGGGTCTCCCGTGGTGTGGTGGTGACGCTGGTGGTCACAAGGAGCCTGAGGCAGGAAGGCGTCCGGTTCAGGCAGCCGGCAGCACGTAGCAAGACCCTGTCTAAAAACACAGAAAGCAAAAAGAAACAGCGGTGGCCATGAGTCTGCCTTTTGTGCCGGATCTTCGCGGCACCGTGGAGACCTTGCCCGAGCAGATTTGAGAAGCCGTGTGTCATCAGTGTTGGTGCGAGTTTCTCACAGAAGCTGGCAGAGGCTGCAGTCAGCTGAGCCTCGTGCCCCCGGGCAGTGTCAGGCGATGGGCGCAGAGCCACGCCAGTTCCTGTGCTGGCTTTGCCCTGCCAAAATCCGACATCAGCCCTTGTCACATCTGCCAGCGTCAGGCCCCTGCAGACCATAGAACTCTTTGGGATCACGGTGGCGTGTCCCCCGCTCTCCTGACGGCTGCTGTGTGTCCAGCTTGCCAGACAATCATGATCAGGGCCTGCCTCGTGTCAGGTGCCATGGTAGGCACTGGAGGGACCAGTGAGCGGCACGGGGCCAAGACACACAATAAAATAAGCAGGGAAATCCGTACGTCAGCGAGCACTGGTGGCCTATAAACCTCTGTGCCCAGGAGGCTGAGATGTGAAGACTGCAGTTTAAAGGCAGCCTGGGCAGGAAAGTTCATGTCTCTTCCCTGTGTTAACTAACCACCACAATGCTGGAAGCAGAGCTGTAGCTCAGGTCATAGAGCACCCTCCTTAAGCAAACTAGTTAAGGGACCAGCACCCAGGCCCTGAGTTCAAGCCCCAGTACTGGCTCAAAAAAAAGAATACATGATTCCTGCTTTGTGGTGGACGCTGCTGCCTCCTCTTCAGCCAGCCCTGAGCCCGCCAGGCGAGCTCTGCTGCCTGATCAGGGCAGGCAGGGTCTGAAAGCCCCCTGCTGATTCTGTAGGCGGATTTTATGTATACACACCTGCTCTAGAGCGAGGCCTTTCCGCATTTGGCCCGTGTGCTGGTGATTGCGTGGCACGCGTCACCAGGCATTTGTCAGACCGCAGGGAGGGAACTGGGCTTGAGGAAGTGCAGCAATACACATTCACTGAGGCAGCAATGCTGGAGGGGGGGGCTGTGCGGGAGGAGGGCGGTGTGCGAGAAGTCTCATCTGCCCATCTTCCCACACACCTAAAACCTCACTAGAAAGGTAGAGCTGTGCGTGTGTGAGTGTGTGTGTGTGTGTGTCCCTCCTGGGGATTAAACTCAGGGCCTGCACACTATCCCTGAGCTTTTTCACTCAAGGCTAGCACTCTTCCACTTGAGCCACAGCTCCATTGACAGGGCCTATTAATTAAAAAATAACAAAACTATAACCAGGTAATCTACTCACCTTGTCCTAGTTCTAGACATTGTATATGTGCTTATGTGTGTGTACATACATACATGTATGTGTGTATGCTGGTCCGTGTGTACATACATGTATGTGTGTATGCTGGTCCTGGGGTTTGAACTCAGAGCCTGAGCACTGTCCCTGAGCTTTTTTGCTTAAGCTATTGCTACCACGTGGGCCACAGCTCCACAGCTAGTTTTTTTGGTGGTTAATTGGAGATGAGAGTCTTGGACTTTCCAGCCTGGGCTGGCTTGAACTGTGATCCTCAGATCTCAGCCTCCTGAGTAGCTAGGATGACAAGTGTCAGCCACTGGTGCTGGGCAGCACATTTTTCTCAGGCATGAGGCTTACCTCTCTTCGAAGGTGGTAATAGCATCCCTCCTCTGCCGCCACATGGCCTGGCTCTTTCCCGTCTTTGTATATGAGGGGACTTGAGGCAGGACAATCATGAGTTTGAGCCCACCCTGGGCTACAGTGAGATCCTGCCTCAAAAGAAAGAAAAAGGAAGAGGGAGGGAGGGAAGGAAGGGTGCGTGTGTGTGTGTGTGTGTGTGTGTGTGTGTGTGTGTGTGTGTAAAAAGGAAGAGGGAAGGAGGGAGGGGTGCGTGTGCGTGTGCGTGTGTGTGTGTGTGTGTGAGTGAGATTAAACGTGAAGACAGCACTTGGTAATTATTTTTCTCCATTCTTTCAGATCTCAGACAAATACGATGTGCCCCATGACAAGATTGGGAAAATATTCAAGAAGTGCAAAAAAGGGTGAGCAGCAGCGGTGGCCGTCTGTGCTGGGGACGCAGCCTGTGCCGCGGCGGGTGGCAGGGCCCACGGGGGGGGGGGGGGCACCCCGCCACAGTGTGCTTTTCCTTCTTACCCTCTCCACCTGAGACTCATCTGCCTTCCAGGCTCATCTTGGCAGATGGGTTTGGTTTGGTTTGGTTTCCAAGTCAAATTTGAATTTGCTCTTCCCGTGCCTGGCTGCGGTGCAGAGGCTCCCGTTGCTGGGTGCACGGTGAGAGTCACTAAGGGCATCAGAAGCTGCCGCCCACCCCGCTGTGCCAGGTGTGAGCAGGTTGTGAGGGGCAGCGCCCCACCCGCCGCTTCATCGCATTTTCCCGTTGCGTTTGGGAGATCTGAGGCGCCGGGCAGCGCGAGGGGCCTCGCCTAGGTCACCTGGCTTGCTGACAATGCAGCCCTGACACAGAGCAGTTTTGCCTGGCTCCAAGCCTTGGTCCTTTCTGCTCGAGCATGCTACCCTGGGCTAGTTTTCTAGTTATCTAACATTACCTCTTTGTCAGAAATGAATTTGTGTATTATTTATTCTCTTCCACTGGTCTGTCTTACGTGTCTGTGCCATGTGGCATGGATTAGCAGGGAATATAGCATAGGAACTTCTGGCTTAATCTCAGCCAGATCCCAATGGGATCTCTGTGTCCAGAGGACAGGTAAGGCTTACTTGCTTCAGCTTCGAGGATGCCTTCAGACAGGTCAGGGGCTGTGGCTTTGGGTCTGGCAATGAGAATTAGCGATAAAGCTTTTGAAAGCTGCATCCTGAACATTGTGTAGGTTTGGGAGTTGGGTTTTTTTTAAACTGGGTGCCATTTATCAAATGGCTACTCCATGCTGGAGAAGCAAGGCAGACTTTTCCACTCGCCGTGTGCACCCTGGGGCCGTCACCAGTCCCCTCCTCCCCCAGTGTCCTCTGTCTTTGAAGCCAGCCACCGGGTTTGTCTCCGCTGCCCCAGTGTAATGTAATGTAAAGCCCCAATGTACTGCCCCAGCCAGTAACTCTGTTGTCACCCTGTGTCTCCTACCAGGATCCTGGTGAACATGGATGACAACATTGTGAAGCATTACTCTAATGAGGACACTTTCCAGCTGCAGATCGAGGAGGCGGCGGGCTCGTACAAGCTCACGCTGACGGAGATCTGAGCCTGCGCCCGCCCGCAGCCCCATGGGAGCCCAGTGGTGTCCCCCAGACCTGGCGGCCGTTGGGCCAGCAGAGGCACCCACGCCCCCTTGCAGATCCTGGCATCTCGGGGGAAAGAATTCCCTTTGCCTTGAGGATGGAGCTGCAGTTAATGTGTTGCATGGGCGGTTTTCAGATGACAGAGAGATCCGTAGATGAATTTGTGTGAATTTCTAATATATGTAGGAAATGCAAGGTGAAAACTCTTATTTCAGGACTTAACTGGCTCTGGGAATCTTGATGCTATCTGCTGTGTTATTTATCAAAACCGTGGCGAGCTGCCTGCTCTCTAATAGTAGGAGTGGGGAAGGCAAGAGGCGTAGCTTTAGGGGTTCTATGCTCTTAGACCCCACTTTAACTTTGCCTCAGGAAGTGGGCACAGTCCCTAAGGACAGGTCAGGGGCCAACCCCCCCCCCCCCGCCCCCATCTCATCCAACAATGTTTACTAAACGACATGTTACCGAACCTTCCTTTGCAACTTCCTTGGACATATCAGCTGCCTTTCTTATGAAGAACATAAATGGGGTATAGTGTGAAATAAGACAAAGCTGCATTGTATATAAGTGCAATATCTTTTTGAAGGTCTGTGTCTGTAAATGTGTACATACATGTCTGATATAAATATATAATATATAACTGCCGTGTCTGTGTACAGAGAGTGAGGTGCACAGTGAGCTTTCCCTGGAAGACTTTCCCTAGAGACAGAGTTAAGTTATTTCTGGTAATGCAGCCCAAGCAGATACAATGGTGTGTTTTCTCCCACGCAGGACTGTGCCCTAGCCTAGCAAGGCCTCAGATGACAGGGTATCTGCCACTGAGTGTCGTCGTGTGTCTGCACTGTTGGAAAGAAGGATGTGCCAGGTGCTGGTATAATCCTATAATATATAATCCTATAACCAATCCTAACAACTCAGGAGACTGAGATCTAAGGATCTCAATTCAAAGCTAGCTGGGGCAGGAAAGTCTGTGAGACACTTATGTCCAGTTAACCAGCATAAAGCCAGAAGTAGAGCTGTGACTCAAGTGGTAGAGTGCTAACCTTGAGCATGAAATCTTAGAGATGGCCCCGGCCCTGAGTTCAAGCCTCAGGACAGGCACAAAATGAAAAAGGACTGTGGCAGTCGCGTGTGTGTGCGGGGACGGCAGCCGCCAGGCCCACTGCCGCTGGCTCTCGCAGCGGAGTTCTCCTCCTCGGCTTCACGAGTGTCAGAGCTTTCAAACTTCGATCACCACTCTTGTACATTAATCACTCTAGAAAGCATTTACGAATTTGTGATGTCACCGTGGCAGGGGAATGTTTTGTAAACATGTTTAATATATGAAAATACTTAATGGTAATTTTATAAAAGAAATCCTATAACAAATGAAATCACGGGTATCTTTAGGCTTAGGGAACTAGAATAGGCCATCTGTTTAAGCAGGCTTGCTAGTTATAGTCTTAGGTGAAAATACTCTAATGAAGTACGTGAACTAGATTGCTGATTTTCTCAGATATCATGGGACACGGGTCATATACAATAGTTTATGTGTTGTGTTACAAAATTGATTTTTTGTCTTGCCTGTTTTTAATTGTATCATTGAAGATGTATTTTAAACCAAAGGGATTAAATTTTATATGTCTCTTTCGTAATACGTCACTCGCTGTTACTCAGCAGCCTGGCTTCTTTGCTGTGTTGACTCAGTCTTGCTGCTCGCCCGGGCTGGCCTCCGTCTCCCAAGTGCCGGGATGGCCCGGATTCCTCACCGAGCCGCGGGCCACCCTGCCACTGGCCAGCCAAGGAAAATTTGAGGTTTTAAACCATTAGAGGCAAAACACATCTCCTTATTAGCACCTTCTCCTTGTTTCTTACTGTGTGTTTAGGTTGCTTCCTCGTGTTAATTTTTCCCTACACATCTCCAGAATGAGTCAAGGAATTGATCAGCAAAGGACTCCTTACTGACTTTCAGTTCTTACCAAAAGTTAACCACTCAAGATGAAGATAAACAATGCTGAAAACCCTATTGCTTTCCCTTTTTAAAAGCCTAACCGCTGGGAAGCTGGTTTAACAGCTGGATACTAGTGGCTCCCATCTATAATCCTAGCTACTCGGGATGCTGAGATCTAAGGATAGTGGTTTGAAGCCAGTGCAGGCAGGAAAGTCTATGGAACTCTTATCTCTAATTAGCCACCCACAAACCAGAAGTGGAAGTGTGGCTCAAAGTGGTAGAGTACCATCTTTGAGTGAAAGCTCAGGGATAGCCCCCAAGCCGAGTTCAAGCCCCATGACCAACCAAAAGGGAAGAAAAAGCCTACCAAAATACTTAGTTTTAAAATTTATCAGTAACATGTTAAGTCACTGGAATTTCTAAAGTAGCTATCCTGAGGAAATTCAGATAATCCAGGCCCTAGATCTGATGAAGGACATCAGAATGTATTTGTGTGTATATATGTGTGTGTGGTGTGTGTGTATGTGTGCAGTGTGTGTGCAGTGTGTATGTGTGCGCACACACACACACACACACACACCGAGCACCTATTGGTAGTGGAGCTTGAACTCAGGGCCTTGTGCTCTTGCTTAAATTTGTTTTTTTGCATGCCTTGGGGCCTGGGTGCTGTCCCTGAGCTTCTTTTGCTCATAGCTAGCACTCTACCACTTGAGCCCCAGCACCACTTCTGCCATTTTCTGAGAGTCTCAAGGACTTTTCTTCCCAGGCTGGCTTCATACTGAGATCCTTAGATCTCAGCCTCCTGAGTAGCTAAGATTACAGGCATGAGCCACCAGCGCCTGGCTTGTTTAACTTTTTTGCTCAAAGCTAGAGCTCTACACTTGAACCATTGCCCCACCTCCAGTTTTTTGCTGACTAACTGGAGATAGGGTCTCCTGGATTTGTCTACTCATGCTGGATTCAAGCCAAGATGCTCAGGTCTGTCTCTTGAGCAGCTAGGATTACAGGTATATGCTATTGGTGCCTGACTCTAAAGTGTATATTTAATGAACAGTTCCGGTTAATGAGGTCACCTCTCTGAAAGACTTCCTATGACGCCTGTGCAATCTTCCTTCCAGCCCTCAGACTGCAAGTCCCGGCTCTGTGCAGCCTGGGCTCCATCGCTCAGTGGCTCTGTCCATCTTATCACAGGGGCCAGAGGCTGGCGGCGGCTGCTGTGTGGGATCCGGGCGCCTGGCTGGCCCTTGCGCTTTCTCCTCACTCCACTCAGACTTCTGCTCTGAACCTAGCTTTGCCCGCAGGGCAATGGCCTCCCCACAAACGAAGACTGGGTTAGGAAGCCCCCCTCTCTCCCCTCCTCCCCTTCCCACCCCCCTCCCCGCAGTGACGCTGTGTGCCGTCCAGTCCTCAGGGATCTAATCAGAGCAAGAGGTTTGCCCTCCCGAGCTGGACAGCCAGCTGTTCCTGCCCTCAGACCCCCTGCTCCAGCTTCTAGCTCCTCCAGCCCAGACCGGAACCTACAGCATTGGCTTTCCCACCCCACCAGCACACAAGTCCCCCGCACGGGCCTCGGGCCTCCCGAGCAGGCATGACAGCGCTTCCCTGCCTCCATGGTTGAACGATCCAGTTGCTGTGACCTCACACACACATGTGTCATACATGTGTGTAGCATGTGTGTTATACGTATGTATACACATGGATAACATGTATGCTGTAGACCCTTGGTATCCACAGGATACCAGGTTCCCAGGAGATCACCGGGGAAGGGAAGCTGCGCGTGCCCAGTACTGTGGTGCAGATGGTTGACTGATTTTTCTTATAACACCACCCAACTTCCGCTCAAAGCATGCCACCCTAAAACAAATCTAGAATCTTCCCTCTGTCACTTCAGTTAAGCACAGTGGAAGGAGGCTTGAGGATTCCCAGAACCTTTACCTTGCCTGTTGGGAATCCTGTTTTCTAAAAATTAAGGGCAGGGAACCCTCAGAAGAAACTCTAGACACAGATGCCTCTCACACCCACAGAGCTGTGTGATGCACGCATACATGGTGGTTTTTATTTTTAACTTTTGTTTTTTTGTTTTTGTCAGTCATGGGGCTTGAACTCTGGACCTGGGCGCTGTCCCTCAGCTCTTCAGCACAAGGATAAGCGCTCTACCACTTGAGCCACAGCGCCACTTCCAGTTTTCTAGTGGTTTTTTTGGAGAGAAGAGTCTCAGGGATTTTCCTGCTTGGGCTGGCTTTGAACCGTGATCCTCAGGTCTCAGCCTCTTGAGTAGCTAGGATGATAGGCGTGAGCCACTGGCACTTATTTTTTGACTATGCTGTCAAAACCACATACAACATATCCATGAATAAGGTGAATCTATTACATATGAAAACTAAGAGGGAAGACAGACCTTTCTATCCTAGAATTCTATCTGTGGTATAATGAACATAATATGTATGTGTTCTCCCTATTCTGTTTTCTCTGGAGCACCCCAACTAATAACACCCCAGGTCAGAGAATGCTCTTTCAGGGGTGAGCAAGCTACCTTCCTGGTGTCTGTTCTGCAGAACCTGGGGGAGCCCAGCTCCCACCACACTGTGGGAGGTGGGCCCTGCGGGGGGGTGGGGCCTGGACGGAAGCCCTGCTTGCTTGCCCAGGCTCTTTGGGGCCTCCTCGGGCCCCAGCACCCAGCTCCCAGCAGACCACATTACCTCCTCCAGCCTCGCGCTCTGCTGGGCGGCACAGCACAGGACGGGCCTCGAGCCCTGTCAGCACAGACAGATCACCTGGGCGCCAAGCAACCAGCCCTGCCTGCCAGGCGCCCGGTGAGGACCTCTTTCTCTCTGTTTGCAGTGAACAAACATCCTGCGGGCCACTCAGGCCGGGAGCCGCGGCTCAGGGCGAGCGCCCCTAGACGCCTGAGCCAGTGTCCGGGAGCGAGGGAGAGGCGCCGTCCCCATGTGCCTCACTCAGATTCCCAACCGGTGCTGTGAGATGGGGGGGGGGGGGGGGGGGGGGGAATGCTGAGGCCTCCTGGCCCACCCCACCAGCCCAGAGCCTGCGCAGCCTTGGCTCTGTGGAGACAGCGTTCCCTTCCTGTCCTTCCCAGTCCAGCCTCCATGCGGCTCACGCCCTTGTAGGGTCAGCAGGACTGTCCCCTCCCCATCACCTGCTTCCTCAGAGCCTGGCAGCTCCCTTGGGGCTCAGCCAGGAGATTGAGGGGTTCCTTGGCGGCCCTCCCGGCCCCTCTCCCCCATGTTGTGCCCTGTGAGACCGCTCTCAGCCGCGGCTGTGAGGAAGAGGGGGCGGTGCAG